GACCTGTTCAAAAAGTCCATCTGAAATATTTAAATAGAAGATAATTACTTCATTTTTTTATCCAGAATAACCAGCTAAAATCAAGAAAGTTTAATCTAATTTTATTTATAAATTATTCCCCAAAGGGACATAGTCACATTATATGACAATGTTCAATTGAATGTCCAATAGCTCACTATGGTTACATACAAAGTTTTTCTGAAAGATTAACACATCTTACTGACGTATTATGTGTTAGTTTTGTGTGTTGTGTTTAATCCTGGGTTTCTGCTTAATCTGTTATTAAATAAAGCCCTTCCTGAGTATTTACAATAACAAAACAGACACAATACTGCACATGTGCACAGGGGGTAAACAGGGAAGTAATGGCTCAGCCAGTGAGCAAAACCCAGTGAAGTTGAGAACACTATAGGCCCATTTACACTACCTTTTTGAAACCGTGAAGCTATCGGTCCGAGCACAGTAACTGAGATAGCAGTTGAGTGTAAATGGAAGCAAAACTGAACCGGACTCTGCCAGACACAGAGCCGCGCTAAACTGGTACTAGTTCATCAGTAGGGCTCGGCGCGGTTCAGTTCTGGCTCAGTTCTCAGATGGCAAAGAGCGCATGAGCAGACCACGTCATCTCCTTACAGTAATCATGAAATTTCAGACATTCACAAAAATACAAGCTTCGCTACCGTGCCACACAATTTCCAGTGATGATTCTGCTTAGCAGCATGATGAGCCTCAACGTCAGTCATTGCTTCCTGCGTCTGTAAGACCTGATTAGGCTATCTTTTATTGTATCTACTTTCCAAAGGCTGACTCTGTCAAGTAAATTCACTAAACAATGCAAACAATGATTTATCACAATTATAACCAAACTTCCAGAATATTTTCGGGGCGGCACCATGTTGTGACCGTCGGACACAGAGTCAGAATTTTTTTGAGAGTCGCAATGACGGTTGCAAAACCTTTGCGAGGGGGGTGTGGTCGCGCACAGAGACATATTTGATGGTTGCAGAGGCTATGCGTCAGAAGCAAAATTGGCCTTAAGGGTTCACTAGAGCTTAGAGTTGCTGTAAAAGGTTTTTCTTTAATTAATATCTGTTGGTCTTTGATGACATCAACCTGTCACTTTACTGCTTGTTTTGGTTCTATTAAGTAGCTTTGCCAGTTGTCGCCCTCTGGTTTTATGGCAGTTCTGTGGTCCTGCCAGCAGATGGCGCACACATCTTTTTATGTCAGCTAATTTCACCCAGTGCTGGGATTCTATTTAGGCTCAAAAAGGACTATCTATACACTATCAGGATGTACACCAAGTGTATATCAACTGATTTTATATGTTTTTTGGTCTATTAGTGAATCTTTAAGTTGATTAGTCCTAATAGAATACAATAAAATCTTTATTGCCCAGTAACTAATATTTCTGTTACTAATGTAAACTCGAAAGTAGTATAAGGGTGTGGGGTTTGTCATTTTATGAACTAAGAATGCTACAGCACTGACAAAAAGGTAAAAAACTATTTTTTTTTAAACAAACGTTCAGCCAGTCTGCAAAGGCCACCCAGACGTGAGAGGCTTAAAAAAAGAAGCTAAAAAAAAGAAGCAGGAGATGATCATAGGGCTTTTTTCCTCATCTAGTCAGCAGGTAGGTCAAAACATGACTCTTTTTCTTCTGTTCTATGTTCCGTTGACATAATCCTCTTACATCTTTGAGGTTTGCACTTTAAATGTTTCAGCCTCAGCATCAACTTTAATCGTTTTCTGTAAATCAGTAATTAGAAATATAATGTTCTCTCACCAACTCTTCAAAATGGTCAAGACAGGGGAACGCACATCTCAATAAAGGAATTTGTTCATTTTCATAAACGGCCACTTCTATCTTTGCTCTGTTAACACAAATTTTAATAAATTCAATTTTGATTTTTAGGAAGTCAGACATAAAATAGACTTGTATCCTGCTGTTTTAGCAACTTTGAGCTTTGCTCCAATGTATGAGGAAGTAGGTGAATCTTGAATAGTGCAGATTGAGTAAGTGATTAGCATAGTATCAGATTAAGGTAACTTTTTTTATTGTTTTTTTGTGGTTATCATCACAGCAACTGTTTCAAAACTCCTTAACAACATCATGAAGTTTTCATGGCACTGTCGGCCAGTTTCTGCACTGCTAGATAATTGTATCTCTGCTATCAGACGACAATAACGGCAGAACAGAATAAAGAACTGATTCCCATTAAAAGACAGTTCCTCTCTTTAAAATGAGATCCTCTCAGCTGAACCTCAAAGCAAAGGTAAAAAGGGGACCTGATGAGTAACAATGAGAAAGAAAGACCAAAGCATTTCAGTTCCACTTTATACAGACCACAACTGATTTCCTGTTTGGATTTAAAAGAATGTCATGTCTCCTTTCAAAGAATCAAACTTTAACACAGTGCCCTACTAACAAGGTTTCCAAGATGGCGGCAGAAGTAACTCCTCTTGGCTCTTTATTTTCTTATATATTGATGGACTCCCAAAGCTGGACTTTATTTCACCCAAATCCCAGCTGTTCACAGAGACTGAACATCATTGTGTGGACTAAGAGACAGAGGAGGCACCATCAATATAAGTGGGATGAACTTGGGCTAGCCCAAACAGATCTCTTCCTAATCATAAAGCTGATAGTATTCTAACATTTATCCTAGGATGCTTAGCCTTGATTTGTCGTTCTTCCTATGCTGTCCCTAGTGATTCAAATGGGTTTATCAGAAATGCTTTACTCCTGGATCAGAGACGTCCTAACCGCTGACCTAAGGTGGTGAGAATAGAGACATCTGCCCCACTGATTCTCAACACTGCCACGGTTCAGGACTGTGATCTCAGCTCTGTCCTCTTCCTTTAATTAAGCCACGACTGCTCTGCTATCCACAACAAGCATTGTTTTGAAGCTAGAGGGCAGCACCTTTTTGGTTTGTATCATATCTAACAAAATGAGGGCAGCAACAGAGAGGACATAGTGGTGCTCTAAAAACAAAATCATCCTGAGCACTAGTAAGACCAAAGTGGACTATAGGAGATCAAAGAAGACAGAAAATTAAGATTTTCTCTGATCTCTCCTAGACTGAGAACAGCAATGTATGTCTCAGTGGGACAATGCGGTATGGGAGCTGCAAGACACAAGGGAGGTGTTATGGTGGTGAACTCAGAGCAAGGAGTTTGTGGGACGCCACCTACCAGATATGGACTTGGTTTATGCTGCATGAGTCCAGAAAAGGACCAGAGGCATTTTTACCTTTCACACCCAACCAAACTGGGTATGCGCTGTTTGTCCCTCTTTAATCAAGAAAACAATTAAGGATTATATATTTTTTTTTTCTTTTCTTCATATATTTTAAGAGTCCTCTGAAAATTTTTCCCTTTAAAGTTTATTTTTATTTTTATTTTGTCTGTGTATTAGGGCTGAAACAACTAATCGAATAAGTCATTATTAATCGATTAAGGAAATAATCGTCAACTAATTTAGTAATTGATTAATCTGACACTGGAGTGTAGAGACGCTAAAACATGCCTCTAGCTGACAGAGCAAAATACTGTTTTAGTAACTATATCAAAATTGTAAAAATAAAAATTTTTATATTTTTTTGGTCTGTCTTTATGCTAAGTGGAAAAGCTGTAGTTTCACCTGGTTTAATTTAGCAAAAAGTCTTCCTAAAAGAGTCTTTTGCTTTCCGATTAATCGATTTGCAAAATAATCGTTAGTTGCAGCCCTACTGTGTATTACAAAACTCAAGAAAAAGATATCCTGGTTATATAATGACAATATGGACTCTTGGTACTTTATTACTGATCACAGTATGATTTTAACAAAAGTATTTTCCAAACTTCCTAACAATCAGTCAGACTCTCGGTTAAGAAATTGGTTTTTAACTCCATGACAGCCTGCTTCCTGTGAGAGATTTTAACCAAAAGGCATCATTGGGAGTCACATAATCTCCCATCACCATCAGACATGATGTGGGAAAGTTCTGCTATTAGAAATCATAAACTTGCCCAATTAATATTTAAAATTAATCTCCAGAACTGTGGCACATTCTGCATTTTAACAGGAGGCCAAAAATAATTTGGACGTCTGACTTTTTTACCCATTGATTAGATTTGTCTTCCTTGCTTGCTCTGTTTCGTCGTTATGCTTTTCCTGTGCCCTGTTCTGTTTATGGGACATCAAATATGACTTTTCCATTTAATTAAACCTATAAGATGTAGTTTAAGCTGGGAGAAATGGGAAAAAACAAATACCTGGGTGGAAAAAGTCTGTTATAATGAATATAAAGCACACTGCATATATGCATCTAATTCAAAGCAGATTTGAGTCTAATAGTTAAAAACTTCATTTTACACACAAAGGGGTGCTATCAGGCAAAGGCAGTCAGGTCAGCTAGCATGCACCTGAGGTGTCCCTTTTTTCAGGGACTTAACCATCCTATTAGCAACCAGAGTCTACAGTTCTGAAGGCTTTTTTAATTGGTTTTAGATTTAACTGGTTCACTGGAAAATCTGGGGAATTTAAATGGCTATTTTTTCAACTTCCTGCAAAAGTTAGCTGTGCCCATGTGACTCACTCAGCGCCACAGGTTAGAGCAGAAGATGCACACTTTACCTTTTTATTCATACAGTATAACACAAAGTAAATTTCTGCGTTGAAAATGCATAAAATAATGAACATAATTAGTAAATTACACAAATATAATCATTTCTTGGGTATTTTTGTAATTCCATGTGTTTTATATTTAATAATTGCAAATTTACTCTGATGGTGCTGCTAAAACTATATATATATATATATATATATATATATATACAAATTGTGCAAGGTTGGACGATGACAGATAGCATTAACAGATAGAATAACAACACAAACAGTTGCTTAACATCTCATTTAGCTTAAGACAGATTAAATCTATTCTTCTCCACATCTATAATGTTCCTTTTTTTTTTCGCAGCTGAATCCATTTGAAAGTAGACCTCCTCCATCTTACCGTAGTACCGGCTTGCCCTCCAGGCCCTGACAGCACAGTGCAGGACTCCATCGAGCCACAACAGCAGCCAGCTGATGCAGAAGCCCAACAGCAGCCCCAGCATCAAGTCCATCTCCTGCTTGGTCACACTGTCACTCACAAAGTAGTTCTCTGAAGAGTCCACCAAGGAGTGGTCCCCGTCATAAGGGATTACATAGTGGACATGATGCCTGGGTGGAGGACAGACAGGAGAAGAGGACAGAAGTGTTTTTTCAGTAATGTATACTTTAAAGTACTAACTGGCTGTACCCTTGAGGTTCAGAGATATTTTTAAAGTTCAATAAGGCCGCACTAATCTGCACTTTACAGGAAACCCCTAAAGCCATGTGAAGGACCAGTGGGGGTCCACAGGATGCACTTTAGGCCGTAAGTGTGTGGCTGACTTGCAATTTTAAATTTTGTGGAAGAAAGTCATTCCCTTTAAAAGTGAGAGAGAGAAAATCAGTTTCTAAAATGAATATTTAGGATGAAAGCAGTTGGTTTTAAGATAGATATGCACCGATCAAATACTAGATATCCGACGAACAGTGCTGATCCAGTCAGTAACACAGTAACAGACATATAATATAATAAAACTGATATATATATATATATATATATATATATATATATATATATATATATATATATACATTTGTTTCTTTTTGCTGCTAATGTATAGCTGATTTGTTCACAAAAAAAAAAACATTAAGTACATTTATATCTGTCCTAATATTTGCCTTTTTTTTGTTTATGTCAAGCGGTTTATTCATTCAACAATAGTATCAGATCAGTACCAGCTGACACGCTCAGCCCAGGTTCCGGTATCGTAATGGTTCCGAAAAAGCTGGATCGGTGTATCTCTAATTGGACAATTCATTTGCTATCTGCCTTTTTATGTTTTTTTTTAAACAAAAGGCATCTGAAAAAAAAAGACAAAATTTTTTATCATATTTTAAAAATGCCTTTAAATTTTTTTTTTGAGAACAAACAAAGGATTTAATATACACCCAAGCATCCTTGTTTTGCAACATATTCACCTGCTGCTTAACTCTATTCACATCTCACTAAAAACATAAAGGGACTGGAACAAAAATGATAAAAACACAGACTGGCTAAGATGCAATGAAAACCTCTCTACATAACATTTTGTGCCACAAACCTCCAAGGAGACATCAACCACAGATCAAACACATGCATTTACATCGCTTCGTCGTGCTGTCCTACTGTACAATGCATGATTCCTCTAAATGTGAAAACCTTCACTGACATTCACAGCCCTCCTGGGAGCAGATACAGGCCTTTCCCAGCCTAACAACACAGACAGATGTCTGAAGAACACGGCAAGAGCTCTGAGATCTGACAGCCGGGAGCGAGCACAGGTGCACTCTGGGATTTTACACTGATAACAAGTTTGAACTGATGGAGATTTCTGAAGACATCCTACTGCAGCAACGTAAAGCAGCATGTTTCAGGGATTCAAAAAGACCTGGGTGTGATGAAATGAACTGTCAAGCTTGCACAGAGATGCTCTGATTTTACCAGGCTTCAACAGGAAGCACAGTGTACCTCTTTGTACGTGGTTGCAGAGCCAGACCAGGACGTATTATTAAACAGTGCTGGGTACAACTGTAATTTTCCTACTGCAACTGAGAAATACAGTGTACTTCTTCACATCAGTGCTAATTAATATAGACAGGCTGATACATTAACAGCAGATGATTGCATTTTCTTCCTGCATCAACATCTGCCAATACACGCATGCTTTCCTGACCCACTTGTTTCACTGAGAACAGCAGAGATGATGATCAGGGTTCCTCTTCCCTCCATAAAAGCCATTTCATCCCACTGTAACATTATCAATGACCCCCACCCTGGACTGTTCTCCCTGCTGCTCTCTGGGAAGAGGCTTCCCAGCATTCAATGCACGTTCCAGCAGATTCCGAAACAGCTTCTTCCCCAACGCCATCAGACAGCTGAATGTTGAAAAACCAAATCATGTCACAGACTCTGCATTAAACTGACCATATCAATGCGTTTTTTTTTTGCACCATGTTTTTTTTTCCCCACAATGTTTATATTTGAACTCTGCTGCACTTTAAGAAAATTAAAATGTCATGAGAGCTGTACAAAACGATTTTTTTTGTATGCACTCTGTATATAAATTGACAATAAAAGTTTTCCTTCATTTATTAATCAATGTTAATTTTTGTTTAAATTGAGAATTATGCTATCATTGTGTCAGTTTTACAGATAAATAAAAGTTTGGTTTAAAAAAGACACATCCTGGGGACTGGTTAGAGTGATGGCATAATAATCGGTATCTGTCTTAAAAAGCTGTATCGGCCAATCTGTTCTAGTTATCCTTGATATTCAAAATGTTTTATGCTTAAAGGATACAGTAAGAGCATAAAGCCTTTTTTTCTGCTGTGAATAATTTTGTTAGGGTGAATGTGATTTTAAAAAGTGCACTTGTATTGGATAAATTAATGTTGGAGGATACAAAGAAGATATTAGTGGAGAACGATGCGCCGAGAAATTAGTTGCTGATTGGAAAAAATTATTGTCATAACGTTACTAACAAAATATTCACCTTAGCTCCAACAAAATTTGGAGCTAAGGTGAAATTGTGGGTAGTTTTTTTTTCTTCTTCCTTTTTTTAGGGATGCTTAATTTGTTCTGTTTCTGTAAAAAAAATCAATTAAAGTAAATTTTACTAAAACAACTCTATTGTGCCAATAAAAATCAGAGAAAGAAGTAAATTAAAGTTTGCCCTTTTTAAGCCATTCAGCCTTTGTTATATAAAACAGTCCAGCTTTGAGTTGGCAGCGATTTTGGAAACCTCAGCACCAGAGTGAAGGTTAACTGATATTAATAGCTATTCTAGTTAGATTAATCACACTACTTGGTAATATCTAAAGAAAATGCCCACTGTGTGATTTCTGTTTTGGGTTTAGAACAAAGAAATGTTTGCCAAATAAATTTCTCCATATTGTGCTGTAAAATGTGTTCCTGATCTAAATATTTTCATAATGATCAATCACCAATAATCCAACCCTTTATAGCTGCTAAACATTTTTTGAAAATATAACTGCTTTTTAATAGCTTTTTCCTAACTAATATTATTTGGACATTGCTGGTATTTCTATTGGATATTGATCTTTAAGTAAATTGAACATTTAATGGTTTGGCTTACTTCTGAAGTGTGCAAAAAATAAATAAATGGGGTGAGCTATAATTTTTCAAATGAAACAGTAAAAATTATTCTTTTATCAGCATTATAACATAGTACTCTAACTGTTTGTCCCAGTATTACGAAGATTGTGTCATAACGGTAGATTTCCAATAATTTAAAATTATATTTCTTTACAACATGTATTTTATTGTAAAGAATGTAACATATTGTTATTTTCCAGAATATTTTGAATGCTCAGCACATACATAACATCTCTGATCCTTTTATCTGTATTGTTTCAACTACAGCTTTTAAAGAAAACTGAAATGTTAATTCTCCTTTTGATTGCACAAACTACCAAAAACAAAACATTCAATTTCCTATTCAAACTTTCTTTTCTATTTCTAATCATATAAACATGTAATAAGTTGAATTTTCAAGAATGTTCCTAGTTTTTTTGGAAAGCTATAATGATTTTAATCCATCTTCAAAGTATGTCTGACAGATTCTTTAGAAATGCAACAAATAGATTTGTACAAAGAGGACAAATAGAAGTGAAGGACACAAATATATAAAAGATAAGCACTGCATTTAGAAAAAAACCTTCCTCAGACAATGGCTTCATTTAATACCAAATGATTTCCCTGAACAATATACCAAACATTTTTTTTCCAAATATACCAAAATTCAGATTTATTTGACTTTTCATTAACTATTGAATCGTTCCATCTGCATCCTCCATTTAAAAGCCAGTGATTAAATCTCCTCCCACTCAAATATTCAAGCTATGACGGCAGCTATTGTTCTTCAGTTTTCAATCTATCCGAAAGGGTTCATCCATATGGCGTCCAAATCAGAGCATTGACAAAGCCAAATAAGCTGACACATAAAACCGTGTCCTCGATGCAGCTAAGGTGAATGCTGGCGGGCGTCCTGGCACCTCTACGCCTCACAGATGGAAGGGCAAGCAGGCAAATCCCGAGCTTTCCCCGTATTTAAGGTTCCTGCTGTTTGCCTGAGAGCAGATGACTGAAGGGGGTCCATCCGGATCAGTGGAAGACAACCTGTGGTTACAGTAACCTGAGTGCTAACCGGAGCAGTGCAGCTTTGACTGATCACGCAGTCTAGGAGCATAAAAAACTAACTTCCTCATTGCAAGAGCTTTAAACACACTTTCTGAAATCACAAGCAGCACAAAGGACAGTTGGAACACAAGGACTGCTATTTATGAATCATAACAGAGGAAAGCTGTTCTCACAAACTCCTATGTTCAGGAGGCCTACTTTGGTTTGTAAATGTATTCCAATCAATCGCAACTTTATTTAATGTGTATTCAAGGTGACTCAAGGTAACAAGAACAATATACAGTACATATATATATATATATATTTTTTTTTTTTTTTCACAAACACTTTTTTAGTTAAAGAAAATCTTTTAGTGTATTTCTCTACTAGTTTTATCCATTTGGGAAAATATAAGCATCTTTTATCACTGTTTAGGTCTTGCCATAGATTCTTTGCTCCATTTCAGCCTGGACTTTAACTAGGCCACTCTGACACTCAGTTATGCTTTGAGCTGAATCAGATTTTACCTTGATCACATGTTTATGATTTTTTTTACCTGGTGCTGACCAGCTTCTCTGTCAACGTTTTAGATCCCCACATCATGATGCTACCACTACCATATTCAGCTTCTACATGGCTTGTGGTTAACTGCAATCAGGATTTCTTAAGGCCCTTTCTCCCAACAGTAGCTTTCTTCTTAATACTCATCAATGCAGGCTGAATTTGGGGACTAAATAGTTAGTATTTGTCTTTTGAACAGACTTTAAACAAACTCCTTCAAACTTATCATTAGCGTCTCTGCTGGGTGTGGAATTGATGCTCCCCTTACCTGGTCTGTTATGGCTTGTCAGATGCATCGGTCTGACTATACTCTTTTTGGAGCTCCTTGAAGGGTTTAACCTCTTATGGATGGATTAAACTAACTAGCTAAATATAGTTAACAGGATTAAGC